GGCAAGGATGCAGAGAAATTGGATCATATTGATAATGGTAGTATAAAATGATTTAGTCACTCTGGGAAAAGGTATGACAGTTTCTTATAAAACTAAATATGAGCTTTCCATATGACCCAGCAGTTACATACACTCTTGAGCATTTATTCAAGAGGCATAAAAAACCTAGGTTCATGCAAAAACACAGAAATGCTCATTGCAGCTTTATTTTTGATAAAAACTGGAAATCATCCTGTAGTATTGCAATTTCTAAAGAGAAATATACGGATGCGGTAAATTATTTAATCAATCATGCCTAGGTAATGAAGTCTGTATTATAAACCCTAAAATACACCCAGCAACTCTGGAGGCTGAGGCAGGAAGATCTCCAAGTTCAAAGCCAGCCTCAGCAACATAAAAGACCCTAGTAATTTCCTGTGTCTCAAAAAGGTAGGGGGTGGTGATGGGTAATATAGCTCAGTGGTTAGGTATCCCTGGGTTCAATCCCTGGTACCCAAAAAAAGAAGAAAATCTAAAATGTAGGGTTCAAGGAGCTTCTGACTTACTGACTTCCTGGAAGTCGGTGTACCCCAGGAGAGCACAGAAGCTCCACTCTCCCCTGTATTTTTACCCTGTATGTCTCTCCTGTCTTGCTTTTCATCCATATCCTTTGTAATATCCTTCATAACAAATCAGTAAAGCACTTATTTGTGTTCTATAAGATGCTGTAGCAAATGTTGGATCCAACAAGGGAGTCATGTAAACCCCATTTATAGGCAGTAGATCTGAAGTTCTGGAGGCCCAGAGTTGAGATTGGCATCTGAAACTGGAGGCAGTCTTGTTGAACAGTGCCTTTAATGTGTGGGATCCTACTCTGACTCAAACTCCAAGTTGATAGTTGTCAGAATTGAATTAACTCAGCTAGTGTCAGAAAATTTGTTGTTAGCGGTAAACTTTGCCCCGTATTTGGTCACAGAAGTGTTTTATGTTGAATGTGAGAGTAGGAAAAACAGTTTGGTTTTTCATATCTCATTGAAATGCAGATGTCCTTCAGTGGGTAAATGGTTAAACTGGTGCATCCATACCGGGGACTATTGGGCAATAAAAAGGAATAGATTATTGACAAAGAACAGTGGGTAGCTCTCAAGAGAATTATGCTGAGTAAAAGGAGCCAATTTCAAGGGTTACAAAATATAGAATTCCATTTCTAAAGCATTCTTGCAGTGTGCATTATAAAGATAAGAAACAGAGTTGTGGTTGGTTGCCAGGAATTAAAGAAGTAAGAAAAAATGATAATTGTGGCTATCAAAATGTAACACTATAAGGGTATTTTTGATGGAACTGTTCTGTATCTTGACACTATTGAGGGATCACACAAACACATAGTCAGGTAGCATAGAACTAAATAATCGTGTGCGTAAGTGTATACAAAACTGGTAAAATCTAGGAAATGTCAGTGGACTGTATTAATGTTGGTTTTCTGCACTATACTATATTTATACAAAATGTTGCTAATGAGGGCAGTCGAGTAAGGATATAGGTGTTTTCTCTGTATTAGTTCTTATAATGGTATCGTAATTATTCCAAAATTTAAAAAAAAAAAAAAACAGGCATAGAAGCTGAGTACTAGAACACTAACTTTTTGGATCAACAAAATTGTGTGCAAATTCTGGCTGTATCCCTTACCACCCTTGCCACCCTTGAGCCAGTTCTTTAACCTCTCTATGTCTCAGTTTCTTCATTTTTAAAAGTGGATACAATAAAACTTTACTCATGAGTTATTTTAAGGATTAGCTCAATAAATAATATCTGATAGTTATATATATATATATATATATATATATATATAT